ATTGGGCTCCGTAAACTCAATCAAACCTTCACATTAGCTTTGTTATATCAAGCGTAGTTATGTCTGTAAAGGAAGACCCCAACTTTGCGGACATCTCGTATAGGTCATGACGTGCGATTTTCAGCTGTAGTATTATGCTTTAATTTTTGGACATCCACATATACCATAATTATTTACCATTAGCATATGTCTCTGTAAACTATGTAAATACCTAATGAATTTTAACTTACCGATTGGTGCCATTTTGCACATCTTTATTCCAACATATAGAATCCTCACCATAAAATTCGAGCGGAATGACCGTGGAAAATATAAAAATCACCGGCGGTCACTTAATTCATACACTTCACCCATTTATACACATATTTTCGATTACACTCAAGTTTATACTGCAACATAAGTAAACAATCACGCACCCGAAAAATACCTTGCACATATGAAATCTTCGACCCGAAACTGAACCGTTAAAAACCAGGATACAATAAAAACAATTGAATGCAAGACAATTAATCTCGGCCAATCCCAAGTCTTGTTTTTCCCAGATTTAAAGTTGGCTGGCCTGCGAGCCGGTGTTTGATGGGTTAATTCATATTCCTGAGAGAAAATATAGACTAGTCAACTAGTGGACATAGATATTTTCATTTGCTATTGATAGGAAATCATTTGCAACTTTTTTGATATTTAATCGTTTCATTTTGCCCTCAGAGATGTGGGTATGTATATGGTGTACAGAAATTATAAATGATAAACCTCCAGCTGCAAATTGGTGACGTACTATGTGGCAAAATTTTCTCGTATCAAAAGTCTTATAAGAATCTTATTCGAAATTTTCATCATTTCATTTTTTTGTTGATAAACCCGCATGCGTTCAGTTAATTCTGTGCCATTCCTTTTGTTAGAACAAGTTTGTTTTAGAACACTCTCAGAATTGAGTCTTTCATGCCACGCACCTTTTTTTCTTAGGGCGGTGAGAAACCGACATAAAAATGATACCAACATGAAAATTTTAATAAAAACCCGTTCTCACGTCTTTGATACCCTGTATACTGTGAGCGAATCAGTTATGATCACATATATGTATGTAGTCGAAAAATTTGATTGGTTATTGGCACTTTTCACATGGTATGTATACCAAGGGCTTCAAATCAGACTCTCACCACTGGGATCTCAAAAATGGTAACAGATACGATGTTCGCTAAATAGGGGCAAAGTTGGGCACATAGCTAACTAAAAATATGACACTTATAGAGTTTCACAACTTAGCGTATTTCCATTTTTTCTTAGCTTTGAGGTTGGATTTTAAAACAGCTTTGACATTGACACTTTTTCTCTTCAAAAACATAGCATACTCAAAAACACTTGTCGGTTCCTGTACTAAACAGACTGTATTCACAGATTCGGTAACTCCATACTAGTAGATATAGAGATAGCAAAGCTTTGTATCGATATCTTGGGGCAGTCCTTTTTAGATACTCAAACTGTTGTGTTATCCATAAGATATCTAATTATCCTCAATTAATGATAACAAAAATAATCATGTCTCAATTTCAAGGTTGAATGGCTTACGTCTTCATTTTTTCATTTTTAGTAATCGGCAATTCTAAGTCACAATGGATTCTTTTAAAATCTGTCTTGTCAAACGAGGGCTTCGCCAGCTCAAAACGGAAGGGGGGCACCTCGAAAAAAAATTTTGGTTTTTTGGTTCCACAAATCATATCTACTTCACAGTGCTGGATACTTTTTTCTATTCGCGTTTTATTGTTTTATACATTCATATAGAGTCCTCCACTATAATATAACAATTCATACGGATATAGAAAGCTACTAGGATTAGTTTTTTGAAACATTCAAGCAAATAATGCACAAAATTCAAAAGGGTGCCCATTTTTTCAGTCAAGGCAATAGGTCAGGAACTGTAACCGCGAATTCTAAAATATGTGGAGTGGAATCTGCGTTGAAAAATCGGAAAATTGCTTATCTAGAAACGTCACAAAACATATTTAATCAAGCTAACTAGCCAAATATGAATCCTGTTGTAAAAAAATTGTACATAATGACACAAAATAAACTTAATAAAATAAAAAAATATATCAGAAGTTTTGTAAGTAAAACTAGGTTTAAAAAAGGTATGTTTTTTTTATAATCGAATTTCGAATTTGAAATTATTTATACACTACACGTGATTGTACGACTTTGAAAGATCATAAGCCAATTGTTTGAGAAGATTTGCACGAACTGTTTATCTGATCTGTTTGAGTATATGTATATCATTACATAATTCAGCAAGAAAGACGATCATATCTCGGTAAATGTAGTCCTTAGAGCACTGCGGTTTCCATCAAAAATCACCAAGTAGCTTCCCCAATCGCCCAAAAAATTTTTTTGGTTCATATTAGAATACATGCCACTTCAAAGGAAGACGCTTTAATATAGCATATTGTACTAATTTCGGAAATAATTTTTCCTTGTCGATGTTTATTACTTGAAATATCATTATTGCCAAAAATAGTTTTAAAGATTACGTAGAAGAACCTAGTTTGTCGAAGAATGATTTGAAAAACAAATTTGACATACTTTACCCATTGTGATCTCCAAAACGGTTATAGATATAAAATTTCAAGTGATATAGTTGGTTTAAACTCATCGAATAAGGTACAACATGTCGTAAGTCATTGATATTATTTAAGGGTAACAATCAAGGTAACGAAAACTATAATTTTAAAAAACTGAGAGCTGAAACGTCAGATCGAAATTTTAACTGTCACTATGCAGAGGAGAAAAGTGGCAATGATATTGTATAATTTGTTTGAAATTTTTAGACAATAAATAAAAAGTTTTGATTCAGACTAAAGCCAGGAAAAAATAGGGGAGACCAAAAATCATGAACAACGGGGATCTTTGACAGGTTGTGGGCGCAAATTCCAGGACAACGTGCCAAGAACTTGCAGAAATGTTCAGAGTGAGTCTTGAAACTATTCGTTTGCATCTTCATCAGCTAGGAAAGACGTGGGAGTTAAGCAAATGGGTCCCACATGAACTGACAAATGACAAATTGTCGTCTCACCATTTGTTCAGTAAACATTTCACGCAAACGCTAGTGAACCATTTCTTAATCGGTTATTAACCTGCGACGAAAAATGGATCTTGTATTCGAATTCTAAGCGTTCGTATCATTGGTTGTCGCCTACTGATTCGGTACCACACACGCCCAAAGCTTCCTTGCACCCAAATAAGGTTTTGTTGTGTGTTTGGTGTACAGAAACTGGAATTATCCATTATGAGTTTTTGGAAAGCGGTCAAACCATCACTGCTAACTTGTATTGTGAGCAGCTTCAACGAGTACAAGCAGCACTGATCCAGAAACAGCCTTCTTTGATCAATCGGAAGAAAGTGATATTCTTGCAGGATAACGCCAAGCCTCATATTGCAAAAGTGACCCGAGAAAAAATTCCTGAACTCGGCTGGGAAACGTTACCGCACTCGTCATAATCTCCCGACATTTCGCCCAGTGATTATCACCTTTTTTTGTCTCTTGACAACTGTATGAGCCACGACAGTTCACAACTCGAGATGGTGTAATAAATGCAGTCCGACTATTTTTTCCTCCAAATCCAGGGAGTTCTACAATACCGGCATATAAAAATTGGTTCCACGTTGGCAAAAGGTCATTGAATGTGATGGAATTACTTCGACGAATAAATAGTGTCTTATTGTTTCTCAATAAAAAATGTATATTTTTCTACTAAAAACCGCACGAACTTATTTGGTTACCTGATAGCTGCATGAAATTATCGTCACAGTAGCAACAAGAGCCATAACCTGCATTTTGCCTCGGTTTTTGGTCATAAGTTTTTTAACTATTATCGGATCTTTTTACGTGTGGTCTCATTCTGTAGGTCTCATAAATACCCAAAAATCTTATTTGAAGAGTTTTTTGGTTACTGCCATCACTTTCGATTGAATCCCACAAAACATTTTTTCTCATTCTTTGTTGTGGAATAAGTTTTCCCACAAAAAATTGGTGTTCCCATTTTACGCGTCCATATTTGAAATACCCCATTCAACAACTTGTATCAATAAAACCAGACTTTTTTTTATATCTCGTATTGTTAAGGGGGTTAGATATATAATCTAAATCTCGCCTTCTGTAAGAATATTACAAATAAAAGACGTTAATTATTATTATTATTATTAACAATTATTTCCGGTAAAATTTGCTAATATGGTTAGACTATAATTTGAAGATAAGCGCATATTGAAAAAATAATCCCTATAGGTTATTACTTGCATAATATGTAAGTAATGAAAGACATATCTGTATTTAAATAATTTATTTACATTCTAATTTAACTTTACAGCATTTCTGTCACTAAAAATTAATGTATAAAAAGAGAAACGAATATGTATACGTAGTCTATAGCATTATAAATTTCACTGTCTATACTACATACAAATTAAATAACATATAATAAATAATACTTTTTAAGTCTCGATTCACCATTCAATAAAAAAATTAATAGAAAAGACAATTGATTCAAGCAAATTTTCTGTCACTACACGTTCGATATTTATTCCTAACTGCCAAGGCGATTCAGTTAAACATAATTTTTATAATGATTATATACTGAATTTAAATAGCTCTCTGGTATTATTTAATCTACTGCTTCGCTTGATTACATACAGGGTATTTTGGTTGAATCTCCTGACTCGTAGACTACACCATAAGAAAAACAAGAAAGCTAAACTCCAAAGGTAGCATTCAGCTAATACAGCACGAGGATGTTTCATCTTTAATCAAAAAAGAAAAGTATCACGTTTTGTTAGATTTCGATCTGATATATGAGGTGTGTTCAAAAAGTATCGAAACTGAAATGTCGCCTCGTAAACCAATGAAGCGCGATAGACTTGGTAAAGATGTGGAGGGGACATTCATGCGTAGCCCGGAATTTTTTCCCGCCCGCAGATAGCGTCAGTTGCTGGCAGTCGGTCTACGTGTGAAGATGAGTTGCTATAATCTTGACGATACCCAAACACAATCATGCGAATTCGACGGACCGGCTAAACACCATTCCAAAAACTGCGTTCCTGGAGTGTTTCCAAAAATGGCAGAAGCGCTGGGAGAGGTGTGTGCATCGCCAAGGAGACTACTTTAAAGAGGATTAAAGTTTCGGGGCTCTAAATCATCCAAACCAAAGGTTCGATACTTTTTGAACACACCTCGTACGTCGCACACCATGAGAGAGTGCACCTATTAAGGTAGTGATACAACCTGACTTATACGTTCTTGCAAGGAATTCACCTTTGGCGCTAGCGTCCTCTTGGGTATACCAAACACGGGAATATCGTTTCTATAGGCCTCATACCATTTATGCAGTGTCCCATTTTAATCCCTCTGTCTAACTTAATACAGGGTGCGGCAATCAAACCTGCAATCTTGAAAAATCGCGCTAGCCAAGAAAGTGGGTGGGGCGAGTTGTCAAGCTTACCGTTGTGTTCGCCCGTTAAAAGCATTTCAGTAGCCATGGATCAGTGGTCTAAGCAAGAACGCGCCTTCGTTAAGGCATTTTATCAATGTCTTCAACGGGAAGCAGGCCCATTCTTTTTGAAGGTGAAAGGGGACAAGCTGTTACCGTGAATGCGGAGCGCTACACGGAAATGTTACGAACATTCTTTATTCCTCGACTTCGCGAACATGGACCGAATGATGAAACGTTATTTCAACAAGATGGAGCCACAAGCCACGCGGCCGCGTGAGCATGAATCTCCTCAACGAAGTTTTCCCAAATCGGGTGATTTTTGTGGGGCACAGTGCATGTGATTTTTTCTTGTGGGGCTACATAAAAAGCAACATTTTCGAAAAAACTCGGCCTCGTACTCTTGAAGAACTGAAGGCGAGAATCCGTCAGGAATCGAAATAATCCCTCAGCATGCTTTTTAACGTAAATTAACGTGGTATCAATACAATTGTTAAAAAGCAACTGTTTTTTTATTAATTTCAAGAATGCAGGTTTGACTACCGCACCCTTATTACTAAAACTACCGACCATAGCAAAATTTTTCAATTTTCAAACAAAACTTGTAGTGTTTCAGCAAATGAAGCTGACCTTAACAATGACTTCGGCCACGACCTTTGAGGTCATTTCAAGGTTTTTTACATCGCAATTGAAAAGAGAAGGAAATTTTACGTCTGAATATAGACCTTACCATGACCTTGGCTATTTCTTCAACGCTATTGCAAGGTCAAATCAAGACATAAAACAATTTTCTCTGCAAAAATTTTCTACAAGCACAGTTAAGTAGTCTGTGGGGATCACGCAAAGGCAACTTTGACCATGTCCTTCAAGGTCAAGAAAAATGTCCAAAGGAAACCTCTCATTTTACACGTAATGAACAAACAGGAAATTTTACATCCAAATCTGACCTAGACCTCAATGACAAGCGTACAAGCGTAAATACTGTTTGAGGTCAAAGTCACATTCGAACCAAAAATTTCCTGCTTTTTCCACTGTCACTATAAAAATCAAATTTTCTTTGTAAATTTTGACTTGATCTTGAATGTCATGCTCAAGGTCATTGAGTGGTCCCATGAACATGTTTGGTATAGCAAATTGTTTTTAATGCCTTGTTTTGAGCTTGAAATGGCTTTGAAGGATATGATCAAGGTCATAAGATCACATTCGGAGGTAAAATATCCTCATCTTTTCATTCAAGTGGAAAAGGAGGGGTTTCATTTAAAATATTCACTTGACCTTGAAATAACATCGAAAGGTCACTTTACCACTCGATATACTGTACAACTCTTACTTGAAACTTTTTTTCCCTAAAATACCATTTTCAAAATATACAGGTGGAGAGATTAAACTGGCACACCCTGTAGACTATTCACGAAATGCAAAAATTACTAATTCTCAACTTTTCCCTTATTAAAGATCAAATCAGATTACAAATGACCACACGCTGGGTACCTAGGGTAAGGTAATTATGTCAGCCAATTTTGTGTACGGAAGAATCGCTTTATCGCATTTTCTTCAGAATAAAGGAATAGCTAAGAAGGCTCTTTCAATTTGAGAAAAAAGTGAATCAGTTCAGAAATATATTATGTTATTGTTTTAATTAATTTTAAGTCTGATTCACTTATCTCGAAATATTAAATTGCTATAGGAATAATGAAATACCCGAATCTGGTATAGAATATTGGTAAAAATACTCACTCAATAAAGCAACTGCTGAAAATAACTCAATGTAAATTAGAAGTAAATGCTTTGAATAAGCAATGATATGAGTAAAAAATACTCAATGTCTTGTAAAGGACAGAGTACGTTTATTTTGGTACGGTTTTTGTATGTTCCAAAATGAAGGCTTATCAGTGAATGACCGTGTTGTACTGCTTAGTGTCAGTATCTAGCTAATTCAAACAGCTGCCGACAATAAAGCACTACATTGGTGTCATTCTTTGAATGCGCTCAATATTATTTTCTTTTGATCTCTCAATTGAAGACTTTGGGTTCGGGAAGGTGTTCACAATTTATTCGGATTTTAAGATTTGCAGTGCAAAAAGGTGTTGAAAGGATGCTTTTTTGGTAGTACATCTATCCGGCCAAAGATGGCTCTCAGTTCTTAGATACAGAGATTCATAAAGCGTTAAGTATATCAAAAAATGTAATCTGTATACTTCGAAAGGTGTTAACTGTTGCATTCTAGGTAAAAAGGTGTTTACTCAAAGATTTAACACCTTTTTGAACTCAAATTTCAATTTGTTTACGTTTGAACACGTTTTCTGATTGTTACGTTTGGGCTGCTTTTTTAAATGGATGTATGTGAAGTTGTAAGTTGTAAGATTATATAACAAAATGGATTCAGTTTTCGCTTAGTTTTTTAAAATTGTAAAGCACACATAACACAGCAGCCAAATGTAAAGGTTTTTTCCACGTCCACGGAAATCGCGGTCCTGAAGAGATTGGCAGCTCACTTATGGCTTTTTGGAAAATATCAAGGACCAAGGCATGGCTTCCGATCATCTGATTGCACGGAGTCATTCGGCAGGTGGGCAAAAGAAAATTTTTTATATTGTCTGTCTATGGCACTACCTAATAATCCCTGGAGTGTTCAAAAAAATTGACCATAAGTTCCCTGAAGTTGGACATACCTTCATGGACTCTGATAGAGATTGCAGCTATAGAATAGTCTATCGGAAAGCATCAACTAATTTATATGGTGGATCAATATATTGAATCATGGCAGAAGCCAGAACAAACACCTTTTAACATCACAAGAATGACGACAAATTTGTTAATATTAAGAACTTCCAACTACAACTAATAAGAAATTTCATTCAGTGATGTAAGATGGATCCAGATTGAAGAACTGGTGTAACCAAGTACAAATACTCTTTTATTAAAACGGAAAATTGGACTACTGTTGATGTAAGAAAACTGCGAAATCTCGATAGAAGAGTAGAAAGTGAACCATTGTTATTGAATGTCGTTAGAAGCCGACCTATTGGAGCCAAAAAGTTTACTAATATTCAGGAACAAATTTCTTAATACCAGCACATTTTAAAGGTTTTATCAAAATTTAAGAAGAAGAGACAATTAGTTACAGTGGTGTACTTTTGTGAGTTTGTAATAAAAAAAGAACAATGTTTACTTATAATAAATAACATCATTGAATTAACACTGTTCTGCTATTTTCATTTTCCGGACCAAGCAAACAACAGTTTTTAAAAAGGTGTCACATTTTCAACAATCTTTTTCAAATTTCTAATAATAACAATTTTTTTAACAAAACTGCTCTACTTTATTATACGCGTCTAAAATAACCTTCAATAATAAAAGCAATAAAAAATGTCAGGATTTAAACTTTGAGACCAATTATTCCAAACTATAAGATCTGAGTTAACACCTTTTTGCACCAAAGGCGTCAATTGATAATTCAATGCAGCTTTTAAAAATGTACACTTTAATTTGACGTTTTTTCTAATCGGATTGTGCAAGAGTTTTATGTGTTTCTATGATCAAATATTTTTTTGTAGAGGCACAAACATCTCCATGTTCCGTTATCACTCCATGAAGAATATTACTTAGGGACATATTATTCCACTGTCAAAGATTTTAAATCGATTTTAGAAAACACACTCACAAATGTAGGTTTTTGGTATCACCTACATTAAAAATTTCATCGTTAACAAACTGTTAGAGTCGATTCTTAAAATTCATCTATGAGCAATTGATTTTCAATGCCAAAAATAATTGACTTTGCTGACTATTAACCATTATGTATTGAATTACATAGCAAAAAAGCTGATTTTCTATTGAACGCATTTAAATTGGAGCAGAAAGTCAAATTTCTTTTGGCGAATAATGCACATTGTCGATTGCTATATAAATACGGCAAAGGTATGGAGTAATATTGCATGGTAAAAACGACGGATCAAACAGCAGAGTTCCTCTTTTTAAGCAGTATTAAATTCGAGTAAGTATAAAGCGCAAATTGAAAGAAATGATGAAATGCAAGGCTAGTTCAAGACTTACAAAATCCAAATTCAGAGGACTAGAATGCAGTATGTGGTAAAAAACTTCACAATTCATCTAAAAAGTTGGTTTTTTGCAATATATCGCAGATATCAAAAATAAACCTGCGTAAAATTATGTATGAAATGATAATTGATGTAGTAACTTTTGGAAATTTCCCAAAATCTAATAATTATTTTGTTATAAACAATTTATGCATATGATATGTAGGTTCAGGAAACAATGGCAATATTTCTGTAACATAAAATACATCAGGAGTTAAAATAAAAACTGCTACAAACATGGGTTCAAAATGATACAGGGTGTTGAAGTTATAATTTTGAAATCGAAATAATATCTTCGTTGTGGATTGAGGTATTGACTCAAAATTTTCTATATGCATTACTAATACATACAAAAATGTTTGTCCCTGATACTACAGCAGTGGCGTCGAAATTTTGCTCCCTACAGAAGAGAAAATAAAACAATTTCTGCGCCACTGATCTTTTTGAAACGTCCAAATTCCTTTGAATAAGGTATTCAATATTACATACTTGCTTCTCTTGAGAATATTCAACAGACCAACCGTCTTGGAAAAAAACGAGTTTACTTTGTTGTACTTTGGAACTAGGATGGAGTTAGTGATATATGATGTTAGAATTGTATGTAGTGTTTGTTATAGAAGAGTAGTTTTAAGTTGCGTTTTTTTAACTATATGTCTTATTTAATCTTATAAGTGGTAGAGACTGAAGAGATACTTTGGAACATATCTTACAGAAAATGTTTGCTATTTTTGGAAGTACTTTCTACTCTAGAGAATATGGCCATTATTTTTGAGTCACCCTGTATAAACAAATATTGTTTCCCGCAATTTTTGAGACGTTTTCATATGAGATCTTTTTCCAATCTTTTTGTTTCTGTCAAATGTAAGCACCCACTCATGCATGCGACAGTATCATCCAACAATGTTCGATAATGAAGTCAGATAGACATCTGTTTGTTGATCATCGTCCAGAGGCATTATCGTGCGATTCAAGTCAGGTGCATAAATGAACACAAAAAGTTGCACACGGCTTCTTTTAATTGACATTGTGTATTGCAAGATTTTTCAAATTGAATGTACTAATTTCAGAACAGTACATTAATTTATCATTTGCATTCAGTCATGATCGAAATATTCCAGCTAAAATTACAACACGATCTCACCTGCTAAATATACTGCGCAATTTAAAATCGATCCAATCGGAATATAAAATTTTTTAGCATCGCCATATACTTCGACCTTCTTTCTAAAATTACTCCATACCGCCGTCATCACCATCAGAATCATCTGTGATGTCTGAGATCAAATACAAACACCTACAACCACACTATTCGAGACACATGACATTCACTTAGAGACCGCTCGTTCCAGCCCAACCACGGATGGTCTAACACATCTTCAGCTGATAGCCTCAACGCGGGATCCAGCTGAAGCATATTCTGGATGAGTTCCTTGGCTAGTGGAGATACGTCTTGCCAATACTCATCGGGGAAATCATACTGACCAGACAGTATGCAGTCGAAGAGTTTCTCCTGATCGTTGTCTTGACTGACGAATGGAGGGTATCCGCACAGAAGGATGTATAGGATCACTCCAGCGGCCCATACGTCAATCTGCGAAAACAAATTTGTTTTTATTGAAGAAATAAAGTCCTTCAGAATCAATCCTTTGCGGCCAATCGCACATCATTATATAATGATAAGAAAGTATGAAAAATCCACTTGAATCCGACTCCGTTAATTAGTGGAACCACTGACCACACACAGGAGTTCTTAGAAACATGTCAACGGTTGTCCATCCTATTTATATGCACGGCCACACATATTTTTCACACTGACCAGTTACATGATTCCGTTATATTCGTTTAGGGGAATGTTACACGATCAGTATTTACTATCATCCGTCGGCATTCACCATGGAACGTGATATTTATTGAACATGTAGCCTGGAAAACAGAAATTATTGATGTATAAGGTTACGTAGGAATCCACTGACTCTGACGGAATTATGAGTAAATATTGATTGTATGGACCACAGTAAATACCGATACTGCGACGAAATAAATATTATTAATAATAGAGATGGTTTTTTCAATGTTTCTTTGATGATACGATCGAAACGTATCACAATGACATCCACGGAGGATATCTTTCATCAATCGATGCGCAGCTCCAAACCGACTAGCGGCGGCAATGTCAGCAACCGTTGAGCAACTGGTCGCTTTTCGTCGCTTTGGTGAAAACGCTTGTATTCCAACGTACAAACCAAGTAGGGCTACCATAGAGTTGCGATCGCAGTTGCTTTCGATAAGAACGGTCCCTAAGGCTGCTTTTTCAGAGATCCTTCGCCATCGCTTTTCACAGGTTATCGTATACTCTCAATGTGTTTGTCATGATTTTATAATAAAACCTAGTTCCCATTTAATAGTTATG